AAAAAAAAAAAAAAAAGTTTAAATATCACATGATTTCTCTTATATGAGAAACCCAAAGTATAAATCAATTAAAGAGCAAAATAAAAGACAAGGAATAAGAAACAGGGAGACAGATCTTTTGTGAAAAGGAAAAGGACCAAGGGCAAGAGGACAGGAAGGAAACAGGAAGGGAAAGGAAAAAGTATTGCATCAAGGAAATACAAAGTGAAACCCAAATGGTATGTCCCTTCACACCTATTAATGGCCATTAGCAAAATGATGCCGCATTCAGGATGTAGATAAAAGGACTCCCTGCATATGGTACCACAGAAATTAGTACAACTATTAAGGAAAACAGTACAGGGATTCCTCAAGAGATTAAAATTACAACTACCTTTCCAAAAGTAGGTATGCGCTGGTTGGTGCACACACCTTGTCCACAGTACATCCTCCCCGTCCTCCCAGCCTCTCCTTTCCCCAAGCGCTCCTTCCCCACCTCCAAAAGGCTGCCTTCCTGTTTCCAGCTAGTTGCCTTTATTTTGCTCATTAGTTTACTTACATTTTGGATTTCTCATATAAGAAAAACCATGCAATTTTTAACATTCTGTATTGAATCCACCTATTTCCCCACAAATTTAAAATGACTTGATCTAAAAATCCCACTACTGGCATATAGCCAAAGGAGAGAAAAACAGTAAATCAGAGATCCACACATACTTAGGTTCTTGCAGCGCTGCTCATGATGCCTAAGATGGTGAACCTAAGCATCTATCAAGAGGTGAACAAAGAAAAGATGGTTCACATGCACAACACACACACAGTACTATGCAGGCTTCTCAGCAGAGAATCCTGTCAATTATGACAGGATAGCTGAAACTGAGGGACGTAACAGTAAAGAAAATATGCCAGAAACAGAAATACAGAAATACGCTGTAGCCTCTCACTATATGACTACATGGAATGGAAAAGAGTCAGGCTCACAGGAGGAGAGCGGGATGGTGTCACCATGGCCTTGGACATGCAGTAGGGCCCAGCAGTAAGGAGCAGCAGCTAGATCAGGGTGCAACAATAAGGCAGGAGGAATGACTTGAGGGTCTGTACAAGGGTGACTAAAGTTGATGATGGGCCGGCCGGATAGCTCAGCAGACTAAAACACCTGCCTAGGTGGATGCAGGGGCCGGAGTTCGACCCCCAGTGTGCCGTGCCGGACCCACCCCCGGGGATGTGCTGAGACAGCGACTGAGACTGGGTGTGGTGGCATGCACCTGTAATCCCAGCACTTGAGAGGCTGAAAACAGGAGGCTCACTAGGAGTCCGATCTGTGTAGTGAGACCCTGTAGACCCTGTACTAAATACATAAAAAATAAAGTTAATGACAATGTACTATATGCCTAAAACTGCTATGCAGAGAGACTTTAATGTTCTTGCCACAAATGCATGATTAATATGAGAGGTGATGCACATAGGCACCTTAGTTTACCCACTTCACAATGCATTTGTGGCCAAAACATGTTGTGCACTATAAATACATGCAATTTTTATCAACTAAAAGTAAAGAGATGGGAAGATAGGTTGAAGGAAGGGTAGGAGAATGCAGAAAAGAAGAATCAAGTTATATCATGTATAGGTATAAATTCCTTATGACGAACAAGACCATTATGTATACCTAAACTATATTAATAAACTTAATTTATTAAAAATAAATAATAAAAATCATTTTAATTACTACCACAAACTGACCAAAAAAAAAGTAAGTAAAAGATACAAGTTGCATTTAAAATAAAAGCTTACGTACCTTGGCTTCCGAAAGACTAAACTATATTGTTGGCAAGCAAGTCCCACGGTAGGAGTGTACACAATAGGCATGAATTTTTCAACATCAGACATTAGTACTCTGTAAAAGAGCTTTTCATTTCTATCTTGAAGATCCATTAACAGAAGATACCTGTGGAAATTAGGCATAATTAGACCAACAGTCAATAGTTGCTTAGAAATCTAAACATTTTTCAATCAACTCCCAAGTATGTTTGAATGATAAAAGAAATGTAAGCACAAAAGAATTTAGAAGTATTCTTAAACACCTCAAAGACAAACCATATGCTTGATTACCATCATTCAAAAATTAAAGTCATTGCTTAAGTAACACCATCTTATTCAATATTTGAAAACTTTATCCCTATTTTAAAATGACAGATGAAAATACCACTATAGATTTAGTTTAATTATTAACTAATTAAATAAAAGGACTTAATCTTTTAACTTGCAGTATTGAATAGCCAAGGCAAATGAGTAACACTTACACTAAAAATAACTAAGGTACACCTAGGCTCAATGGTAGAGGACCTGCCCAGCATGTGTGAGGTCCTGGGTTCAATACCCAACATCAAAGTAACAATAATAATAATTAAGGCAGGCAAGCCAAAAGGACTTTTTTTATTATTTGTATCTAATGGTCTTCTCATATAGAGGAATTTCTGACTTGGAGGTGTATTTCTACACATAAAGCTTTTCATGTTATCTGTAATCTTCAAGAGTTTATCGAATAAAACAAACTGCTTAGTACAACTGAAAAGAATCTTGCAAAACTGTACTCATCAACCTTACCAACCTTTTGGGAGTGATTTTTCCGAGGTCACGTGCTAGAAGTGTGGTCCCCAGTAAGACAATGCGAAAAGCTGGCATGCGCTTTAAGAGCTGGACCCAGGGAAGGGCAGTTAGGTCCCCAGGAAAACTGCCCTTGGTCAACGGAATTTGCATGAGATTCATCCAGGTTAGTATCCTTAAAAGTGACTGGGTTTTTTACTTGTTTGTTTGTTTTATGGTACTAGAACTCAGGACCTCACACCTGCCAGGTAGGCACTGCGCCGCTGAGCTATATCCCAGACCCAAAAGTGAATTGTTATTAAAAATAAATATATAAAATAAAGACTTTTATCGGTAAATGGATGCAACTCAAGACCATACTCGTAAGTGAAATAAACTGGATGCACATGTGCAAACACGGCATTGTCTCTCTAGTGCGAGAAACTCAGTCAATAAGATCCAAAATGTACAATAGATACTGTAAAATGGGGAGAAGCTTCAAAAGGAGAAACTGGGATGGGGAAAGGAGAAAAGAAGGAAGAAAAGCGTAAAACAAAATTAGATATCTCAAAGTTAAGACAGTTATGGTATGAATTTCTCTTAGTTCATTGAAAAGAAAAATTTGTGCTAATATTATTTGGGCAATTAAATGCCATGATCTTGTACTCTGAGTAAAATTTAAAGATAACAATATGCAATGTTAACGGGTTAACCAGCGTCATTCTATACTTGCTCTGAATTTTTTTCTCTTTAAAATAAAAAAGGAAGAAAGAAAATAAACATTTCTAGGAAAAATGAGATTAATTTTAAGGCATCATAAAATTGATTTGTCAATATGGAAATCATTAGTGCCAAGTCAATGGTAGATTCTCACACCTCGCGCCAACTACCAGAACATTTGACATGAGTGACGTTCCCTAAAGGTCAATCCATTTTCCTTGACTTCAAGCCTGGTTTTTCCTATCTCCAAGTCATTCTCTCGCTCTGGCTCCCACTCTCACTCTGGCTCACTCTGGTTCACTCTGGCTCTCTGCTCTCCCCCCCTTGCTCCATCCCTGTCTCACTTCTCCCCTTCTCTGAAAGTTAACATCTAAATGGAATAAATTAGGAAGTTACACAGTGTTGCCTTCAACATACACCCAAAATCTGACGACCTCTATTATTATGACAATGGATCCAATTCATCATCCCTTGCCTGGATTATTACATCAGTGGCTTAGATGATGTCCCAGCCTATACTCTATTACCCACATTGCCCAGTCTTTCTAAAATGTAGCCCAGATCACGTTGATCTGTTCAAAACCTCAGAGGACTCCCTTTGTACTCACGCTTAAATCAGATGGCCTTCAGTGGTCTGCAGAGCCACACACAGTCTGTCTCTCATTAGCTTGCTAATGTCACTTCCTAACCTGCGACTCTCCCTAGCACCTCCTTCTCCAGACGCAAGTCTCCCTGCTGACCCTTGAACACGTCAGCTGCAGAACTTTTCCTCAGACTGATACATGGCAAACATCCTTATCACTTCTGAGTATTTTCTCAAAACTCACTTTCCCACTGAAGGCTACACTTATCACCCAATTTAACAATTCAGTGTGGCCATCCCTAGCCCCAGAATGGTCCGTCCCTCTTTAGTAGATCTTACCCGTTCCTTTTTTTTCCTAGCATGCATTAATTTCTAGTTTATTACATAACTTCCTTTTTTACTGCTTACAAACATCTCATAATTCTAACAATTTATGTAAATTTTACAAAGGCAGACCACAAATTGGGTGCTTTATCAACAAGAGATTTCTTTTTTTT